ACAAACAAACATTTACTCACGCGCAACCACTCACTCAACACACACAACCTCCCTGCCTCCCAAACACATTTTATACGAAAATCAACATATATTCTCTCTTTTTATAATGCTTTCATCTCTAAGGAAATCTATTTAACTGAAAACCATTAAAAAGAACATCATATTTATGTCAACACCACAGAATACATTATTGCGGATCCTGTAGTTTTAAGAGAAGGAAGAAAGCAATTTTATCCGTGAATTTTAAAAAAAGATGTGAATGTCAGGTTTACACAAAACTTTTTGATTTATACAATAAAAGGAATAAAGAAGGAATAAAAGCAATAAAATAATAAATATTTAATAAAGAAGGAATAAAAGCGAATAAATAAGAAATAGAGAAGGAATAAAGCAATTTATTCGTGAATAAAAAAAATACGAATATAAACTTACACAAAACCTTTTTTATTTCATCTTTACAACTGATGAATAAAATAAGCCAATCTATCTGCGCGGATTAAATGACATTTCCTTCTTGTTCAAACATAGGATCATTTTTATTTTGTAATTCGGCAAATATATATTTTTTTCTATGATTGATACAAGAAATATCAATCCTTTTACCTAATACTGAAACTAATGTGTGTGTGTCTGTGTGTGTGTGTGTGTGTGGTGTTGTGTGTGTGTGTGTGTGTGTGTGTGTGTGTGCTGAGTGTGGTGTGTGTGTGTGTGGTGTGTGTGTGTGTGTGTGTCCGTGTCTGTGTGTGGTGTGTGTGCCTATACAACGTATCACCTTTCTTTTTATTTCTTCTTTTCATTAAAAACACACATCATTATAGGAGATATTATCTATCTTTTTTCATATAACAATGGCAATAGTGAATGTAACAACGGCGATTATAATGCAAATGATATTCGATAATTGAAATTAAGAATCATTAGTACAGAAACCAGCTAGTAAATTCCATGTAAATACATATGTAGTAATAATGATGATAATAACAGTGATAATGAGAAGAGCAAAAAGGATAATGATTATAATGTGGACAGGAATACTGTTTATGATAATGATAATAATAACATTCCTAATCAAATTGATAATGGTGAAATTACAATCATATGATCGTGATAATAATGATGATGAAAATAATAATGATAACGATAACGATCAATCAATAATATTAATAATAGTGATAATAATAACAATGATAATAATGATAATGATAATATCAATAACAATAACAATAATGGCATTGAAGAAGATGATAGCAATAAGAATAATCATCATCATAATTTGAAGAAGATGATAGTAATAAGAATAATAATGATCATAATAACAATAAAAAAAAACAATTCTGGCAAAAACAACAACAACCAGGTAGTCAAAACAACATCGAGATCCACCTCATTTGAATATTACTGTCAACGATGGCCCTCCTTATAAGTTCACTCAACACGGCATGTTGAACATCACTGACATCTTGCATTCTTCCTCTTTTCCTTTTAATGTTGACGAGCACAGTAAAGAGATGTGATGTGATAATATTTACAGGTTTGGATTCATTTGATTGATAAGGTGGTCTTAGGTATAAAAATATCTATTTGACAGTTAAAAAATATATAGATAGTATAATATATAATGATATAAAAAATATAAATAGATAATAATAATGATATAAAAAAATATAAATAGTATAATAATAATGAATGTAAAAAATATAAATAGTATAATAATCATCATAATATAAAGATAAATAATAGTAGAAAAAATAATAGTATAAAAATATACTATAATATAAAAATCAGCTGGTGATTATGATGATAGTGAAATAACAGCTTTTATTCATCTATTGGAGATGTATAGGAACATAATACGAATGAATATAACGAAAGAATGAATAAATTAAGATTTGATAAGGAACGCGTCAACAGAGATCCATCTCAACCCAAATAATACAATTAAAAATAAAATAACCTTCGTGTGTAATTTGATTGAAGTTCGGATGGAAACGCGTCAATTCTTGTACTTGTACAGTGAAAATCTCTTGTACAGTGAAATCTCTTGTAAGCTGAAAATCTTGTTGAAAATCTCTTGTACAATGAAAATCTCTTGTAAAAATGAAAAATCTCTCTCTGTTGTACAGTGAAAATCTCCTTGTACAATGAAAATCTCTTGTACAATGAAAATCTCTTGTAAACAGTGAAAATCTCTTGTCCTCTTGTTGAAAAATCTCTTGTAAAGTATCTTTGTAAATGAAAATCTCTTGTACAGTGAAAATCTCTTGTCCAGTGAAAATCTCTGTCAGTGAAAATCTCCTTACAAGTGAAAATCTCTGTACAATGAAAATTCTTGTACGAAAATCTGAAGAAAATCTCTTGTACAGTGAAAATCTCTTGTACATGAAAATCTCTTTAATGAAACATCTCTTGTACAATGAAAATCTCTTGTGAATCTCCAGTGAAAATCTCTTGTCCAGTGAAAATCTCTTGTCAGGTGAAAATCTCAGTGAAAACTCTTGTACAATGAAAAATCTCTTTAACAGTGAAATCTTTGTCCAGTGAAAATCTCTTGTACAGTGAAAATCTCCTGTACAGTGAAATCTCTTTGTACAATGAAAATCTCTTGTACCAATGAAAAATCTCTTGTTAAAATCTCACACAGTGAAAATCTCTTGTCAAAAATCTCTTGTACAATGAAAATCTCTTGTACAGTGAAAATCTCTTGTCCAGTGAAAATCTCTTGTCCAGTGAAAATCTCTGTAAAGTGAAATCTCTTGTACAATGAAAATCTCTTTACAGTGAAAATCTCTGTACAGTGAAAATCTCTTGTACATGAAAATCCTCTTGTAAGTGAAAATCTCTTGCTACAATGAAAATCTCTTGTACATGAAAATCTCTTGTAACAATGAAAATCTCTTGTACAAAATCTCTTGTACTGAAAAGTGAAAAATCTCTGTACAATGAAAATCTCTTGTACAATGAAAATCTCTTGTAACAAGTGAAAATCTCTTGTACAGTGAAAATCTCTTGTAGTGAAAATCTCTTGTACAGTGAAAATCTCTTGTACAATGAAAATCTCTTGTACAGTGAAAATCTCTTGTCCAGTGAAAATCTCTTGTACAGTGAAAATCAGTTACATGAAAATCTCCTTGTACAGTGAAAATCTCTTGTACAATGAAAATCTCTTGTACAATGAAAATCTCTTTGTACAGTGAAAATCTCTTCTTGTACAATGAAAATCTCTCTCTCTGTACAGTGAAAATCCTCTTTGTAAAGTGAAATCTCTCTTGTACAGTGAAAATCTCTTGTACAGTGAAAATCTCTTGTACAGTGAAAATCTCTTGTAAAGTGAAAATCTCTTGTACAGTGAAAATCTCTTGTACAGTGAAAATCTCCTTGTTACAGTGAAAAATCTCTTGTAAAGTGAAAATCTCTTGTCCAAGAAAACTCTTGAAAATCTCTGTACAGTGAAAATCTCTTGTACAGTGAAAATACAAATGAAAATCTCTTGTACAGAAAAGTACAGAAAATCTCTTGAAAATCTCTTGTAAAGTGAAAATCTCTTGTACAATGAAAATCTCTTGTACAAAAATCTCTTGTCCACTTGTAAATCTGTCCAGTGAAAATCTCTTTGTTACAATGAAAAATCTCTGTACAATGAAAAATTCTTGTACAGTTGAAAATCTCTTGGTACAAATTCTTTGTTGAAAATCTTTTGTACAATGGAAAACTCTTGAAAATCCCAGTGAAAATCTCTTTGTACGAGTGTAAATGAAAATCTCTTGTCCAGTGAAAAAATCTCTTGTACAAGTGAAAAATCTTCTATGAAATCTACATTGAGAAAAATCTCTTGTACAGTGAAAAATCTCTCCTCAGTGTGAAAATCTTTGTCAGTGAAAATCTCTTGTCATGTGAAAATCTCTTGTACAGTGAAAATCTCTAATGTAGCAGTGAAATCTCTTCTTGTTACAGTGAAAAATCTCTTGTACAGTGAAAAATCTCTTGAAAATCTCGACAATTGAAAATCTCTTGTACAGTGAAAATCTCTTGTACAGTGAAAATCTCTCGTACAGTGAAAATCTCTTGTACAGTGAAAAAATTTGTACAGTGAAAATCTTGTACAGTGAATCCCTCTTGTACAGTGAAAAAATCTTCTGTTACAATGAAATCTCTCTTGTACAGTGAAAATCTCTTGTACAGTTGAAAATCTCTTGTACAGTGGAAAAGTACCAGTGAAAAATCTCTCTGTACAGTGAAAATCTCTTACAGTGAAAAATCTCTTGTACAGTGAAAAATCTCTGTACAGTGAAAAGTACATTGAAAATCTCTGTACAGTGAAAATCTCTTTGTACAGTGAAAATCTCTGTACAGTGAAAATCTTGTACAGTGAAAATCTCTTGTTACAGTGAAAATCTGTAACAGTGAAAATCTCTTGTACAGTGAAAAAATCTTTGTGTACAGTGAAAATCTCTTGTACAGTGAAAATCTCTTTTACAGTGAAAATCTCTTGTACAGTGGAAAATCTCTTGTACAGTGAAAATCTCTTTGTACAGTGAAATCTCTCTGTACGTGAAATCTTGTACTCTCTGTACAGTGAAAATCTGCTTTTGCAGTGAAAAACGTTTGACAGTGAAAATCTCTTGTACAGTGAAAATCTCTTGTACAGTGAAAATCTCTTGTACAAGTGAAAATCTCTATGTTAACAGTGAAAATCTCTTGTACAGTGAAAAAATCTCTTGTAGTGAAAAATCTCTTGGTACAGTGAAAATCTCTTGTACAGTGAAAATCTCTTGTACAGTGAAAATCTCTTGTACAGTGAAAATCTCTTGTACAGTGAAAATCTCTTGTACAGTGTGAAAATCTCTTGTACAGTGAAAATCTCTGCTACAGTTGAAAATCTCAGTGAAAATCTCTTGACAGTGAAAATCTCTTCGTACAGTGAAAAATCTCTTCTGTACAGTGAAACGTTTCACAGTGAAAATACTCTCGTACAGTGAAAATCTCTTGTCAGTGAATCTTGTGAAGTGAAAATCATTAATTCTCGCCCATCCCCTTTCTACATAGGCCACAACCACCTCTCTCCAACTGACACGGAAGCCACCCAGCACACTACGAGACATCAACCAAAGATTTTATGGACTCAGCTGACTCTAAAACAGCTGGTGACTCGAGAGCCGAACGCAAGAGGTCAGGCGAGGTCACGGGGAAGTGTACAGGTGCAAAAGCTCTTCTGTTGCCAAGTAAGGTCGTGGATACGCCAGGTCATCAGTCTCGCGGGTTAAGAGTTTGGT